GAGCAGGGAGCCCGATGCGGGACTCGATCCCGGGACTCCAGGATCATGACCTGAGCCGAAGGCAGTCGCTTAACCAACTGAGCCACCCAGGTGCCCTACTGAAGCCTTTTAAATACCCTAATCTGTGCCGTCAACTCAAAATTCAATGGAAAACGTATCTTTGGTCACTGGATAAACCGTCTTCAGAAACCCCTCCCCCCCCCGCCTTGATTTGAATAGTGGCAGATGAATCAGCCCGGAACTCTCTAGAGTGAAGGTGAATGGCCTTTTCATTTTTTTTTTTTTTTTTTTAAGATTTTGTGTATTTATTTGACAGAGACAGTGAGCACAAGCAAGAGAAGTGGCAGGCAGAGAGAGAAGCAGACTCCCCACTGAGCAAGAAGCCCGATGTGGGGCTCGATCCCACGACCCTGGGATCATGACCCGGGCCGAAGGCAGGCGCTTAACTGACTGAGCCACCCGGGCGCCCCTGAAGGATGATAGCTAGGAACACGAAACCTGAACCCAATGCTTTCTTTACTAAGGGTAATGGAACAATTAGCTGCCTTTTAAGGTAAACTATGCTTTCAGTTTCATGTCTAATTACAGCAGAAAGCAGGATAGCCAACCTAACTGATATGTGCATCATGTGGGTGGATCCCTAAAAGGAAATATCGTATGTTATCTGGTGTGCATACATTATTTGGGTTTAAATCCTGTATATTTTTAAAGGGATATGGGCGGTATTCTATATTAGTATACAAATAATAGCACTGGGGGATTGGGTGAGATCTACTAGAGAAACCCTGTACCTTAAAGGAGAAGAAGCGTTACAAGAGAAACCAGACTATGTCTTGTTACAATTCTGAACACAATGTCCCCACAGAAGCCTCCAGCTGCCCTTCAAGAGAGGATGCCTTTGATGAAGAGGATTCTAATTAGGTCCACAGGAAGGCGAGACAAAGGTTTTCCTTTCTCCTGCTTATCTTTTCCATTCACTCTTTCCACAGTATAGAGGCAAATGAAAACAGTGAAGGGAGGGCAATGAGCTACGTCCTTTCAGAACTGGAAGAGCAAGGAAAAAAAAAAAAAATCCAGTGTGAAAACACACCCTGGAATTACAAATTCATGGTGCAGACTTTCTAGATGTACTGTGAAGAAATTTAAATACCGTGAAGGTTTAGGATAGAGGAGGACGGGATGACACAGCAGAATTTGGGCAAAGAACTATAGCTACTCTGGTCAAATCTTCTTTTAGTGTAACTCCATGGAATTTAGAGGAAGCTCCAGCAGGCTCGAGCTAGCAGAGGTCTTAGAGGTGATGGAATGATCCATTTTATAGATGAGAAAACGGAGGCCCTGAATGGGTGATCAATTCAAGGTCAATGATTAACAAGAGGCAGAAATAGCCATAGAACCCAGCTGCCTGCTTCTGTGGGATTAATTTATGCCCCGTGTGGTTCTGCAGCAGAGGAAGGGGCTAAGTGAAGGCCCTAGAACAAGTGGGTGAGAGACCATTGCTGGGGATCCATCAGGTCTCTGTTAAGGATATGAAGATGTCATCTGTCCTTTCATTCCCAGGGCCTCTCATGGGCACATAGTGTTGGTAAAGGACGTGCCCTATCACAACAGACTAACCTAAGAACAGACCGGAGAAGCTACCCTCTTCTATTAAGCCAGACGCTAGGGATTTTAAAAGATCTAAAATAATGTTACTCTTCTCAACACTAACAGTTATTTTGAATGAATGAATGATTACATACTGAACTGAATAAATACTAAATTTTCTCATTTTTAAAAATCTTGATAGATGGAATCCACATACACAGAAACTCTGGGATCCCCAAGACTTTTGAAGATGTACTGGTATCAAAAGATTTAAAGAACTGTTGGGCTAGAACATTGAAAACTAGAACCTTGCACACACTGTTCTCAACATAACTCCCCCCTCCTCGATGGGTCCATCTCTCACCTTCCCAAGGAACAGGATTACAACAGCGTGGCTGGGAGACCCAGACGCATAGCCAGTGCCAAAGCCGTAGGGACGGGTGCTCACAGGGTTGGGTTTGGGGGGGCAGAGCATAGGGAGCGGGAGTTGAATTTCCACCCTGCCCTTTACCAGCTCTGAGAACTAGCAGAAGGGAACCTCCGTGTCTTTACCTGTACAGAGACCAACCTAAGCCCTACCTGCCTGGAGCCTCTAGTGGGGGGAAAGCCCGGGGACACTGGCTGGAGGCACATGGTGGGCGCGCCGTGGCTCCTTGTTACTGTTCAAAATCCCATGCTCTCCAAGCAGCAGTGAACTGTTCCCTTTACAGCATTCTTGAATGTTCACATTCCATATTGAAATGTAAAACGAGCCCATGTTTATTCACCCAAATTTGTCCCTGTATTCTCTTTCCTCTGTGTTCCTTGCACGTTGCCTTGTGTGATTTTGGACCAACCCTTTAACTTCTCGGAATCTAATTTCTCTCTGGCAAAGGCAGCGTGATTCCTAAAGCAGAAAGCGCAGCTCAGTCATTAAGAGCGGGCCTGGGGCTCCGCTCGGCTGGTTTGAATCCCAGCTCTGACCGGTTACTTGCTGCATCACCTGGGGCAAGTGGCTAATCGCCCTGGGCGTCCATTTCCTTTCCGTAAAATGGAGCTCCATCCGCTTCAGAGCGGGTTGTGGGGATTAAATGGCTTAAGACGAAGTATTTAGGACCACCAGGCTTGTAGGAAACAGGAAAAAATGCTAAATAGCTTATCGTGAGTAGCTACAAAACATGATTAGGCTCGATCAGCTTTTCGCCAAGCTTGGTGAGAATTTCTACTGCCTTGTTACCTTCTCTGCTGCTCGACTCCTCTCTCCTCCCAGACTTGTGAACCACAACAGCCCAGTGCCGGGAAGGCTGGGCAGAGGACCATCCCCACTGCCTCCTTCAGTTCTCAACTCCCAGCTTCCTTCATTTCGAACTGGTGCTCAGAGTGCTTTCAGTCACCGACAGTGAAGACTGGGGCTTTTCCCTGTGACTTCTGGAGGCAAGCATTAACCCTTTCTGAAAAGTTTGGCTTCTCAGTGTCCAAGAAAGGCACAGAAGCGTAGTAAAATGGGATGCTAATAAAAGGACAGAAGCAGTTTTTTAAATAAATGAAATGGACAGTACCAAGGAGGAGGAATTGAAATGACTAATGATACAAGCTTTCCAGCAAAGGAGTAAAGGTAACACATAGGGTAACTGAGATCAGCAGGGCCATTTAACTACCCTGTGATCTTCTGTTCCTCTGGGGAGGATCACATGCCCCCTGGGCGGTGCAAATCTGTTGTTTTAAAGATACAAGGAGCATGAACTCTTAGCTCATTAAGATCAGATTTGGTTTTTCAAATTTACTCTGGGACCAAAAAATTACTGTAATTTTTTCCCCTATTTAATTCCCTATCTTCTTGGTTGTGCAGAGGAACCAACTCTTCTGTAAGGATTTTAAAATGCACTATAACTTATTTTCAAAAAGTGGGGGCAGTGTGAGGAGGAGGGTTGCCCAGTGGAAAAAAATCCTTTGGTGCTACAACCAGGATATTCAGAGGTTATAAAAAAAAGTCCTTTGTCAATGGTTTTTGTAGGGTGAGGGCTTCTATTTTACATAAGGGATCAAGGAAAGCCTATCTGAGATGATATTTGGGCTGAAACTGAAGGAAGTGAGGAAGCAAGCTTGGGACAGCTAAGAAAGTGTATTCAGGCAGTAACGGCAAATGCAAAAGCCCTGAGGCAGAGACATGCTTGGTTGTGGGAGGAATACCAAGGCCAGTGTGGTTGGAATGGTATGGGTAAGGAAGACAGAGGCAGGGAAAGGAGAGCAGAGGCAGCATAGATCTAGACCATGCAGGGCTTTGAGGACTTTGGATCTTACTCTAGGAGAGGTGAGAAGATGCTGGAGGGCTCTGCAATCATGAGTAGCATTTTCGGTGACTGAGGTCCTGTAGAGTATACTTGAGGGAATAGAGGGCTAGGTTGGGTCATAGGAGGGAGTGGTGGGTGTGGTCAGGAGACACACCAAGTGGAGCTGGTTCCTGACATGGAGCTTGCACACTCATGCTCGGCACAACTTACTAGAGTGGAAAACTTGAAATCAACACTTGGGTCTTTCATGTGATTTTGTGCAGGGATATACTTTATAGGGAAAACACCCCTTTTCCTCTTTCATAGTTTAGTCCAACCTACATCCTTCTAGACCTCATCTAATAATTCACTTAAATCACTGGACAACTTGGCAGGCACTCAAGGGCGTTCACTCATGATCCTCCAAGCAGCCTGGTGAACTCAGCATGATTTCCCTCCTTTGGCAAACAAGGACACACAGAGAGGTGCCTGCCCAGGTAACGGCACTGGTTGGTGACAAATGAGGGAGAGAGCCGAGATTCTTTGGTGCTGACTGCAGGTTCTTCCCACAGCCCAGTTCTGGGCCTCTTAAGCTACCAATTTACCAAGGCAGTAACCCAGAATTCAAGAAGACTCACACACAAGGTGGATACACTGGAGTCAAAGAAGACATTAACACGGAGGAGCCCCATTTTGCCTCACAATTAGGGGATCTGTTCTCTTATTACGTAGAGTGATTTAGCGTCTTACCCTACATACTCTTCTGGAATGTTCTACAGGAACTGTGTGAAAGCATGGCTTGTGAACAGACACACCGGTGATGGAGAGCCATGATTTCTTTTAAAACCCCAGCCTGCCTGGCCTTATAGAACCTGTTCTTATGGAAGCTGTGGCCTGGGTCCATCTGTAAACACAAGGGAAGGGGAAGAAACTGGAATTACTTACTAAATAGACATCAAGCACGGAGGTGTTATCATCCTGCATTTCCAGAGCATTTGGCTCAGAAGTCAAGTAGATGGTCCCCTCTTCCAAGGTAAATGTTGAACTGGAAGGTAACCCTTTACTGGAAAAACGAAGAAGAATAATGAGCATGTGGCCTCTGGACCAAGATCCAGGGGAACCTCCAAGTTGTGGCTAAAGACGTGGAGTTTGGGAAAGCTTTTTGGGATAAAAGATGATTTTGAGAGTTCAAAGGCAATATGGTCCTACCTGCAGATATGCTCGCTTGAGTTTAAGGAATTTGGTTGTACTAGCAGTGTGTTTGCTGTCTGCTTCCCTGCAAGGGACACTTATTTATATTTCTGAGAAGTGTTTTGTGGGTCCCTGGCCTTGTGAGGGCAAAGGGCTATCATCTCGAGGCGCAATGGTCAGCTTTGACTTTGAGTAGTTGGTTCCTGCTGCTTAGGTTCTCCACTTAGAGTACTCACGCTTTGCTGGTTTATAAAGATAACCTTGTGCACGATCAATATTGGTTTCTTTCTTTGTACTGTTCTCTTTTCCTTTTAGGCATGAAAAGTTGTCAAACTTAAATGTGCCCCAGAATCCCCTGGTGGGTTGGTAAAAACCCACTTTCCCAGGCCCTACACCCCCAAGTTTGATGCAGTTGATTGGACACAGAGCCCATTGGTTTGCATTTTTAATAAGCTCCAAGGTGATGTTCCTGCTGCTAGGCCAAGGCACTCTCTGAGTACCAAGGAATTACAAACGTGCTTGCGAGGACAGCCTAGGTGTCCCTTTGGTAGACAGCAAACGCCACAAGAACGGTGGCTGATAGTCATACCGGAGAGTCCTTTATGAGGGGCAACCACCTTGTTTGGTCATGATACGAGAACCAGTGACAACTGTTGAAGTCATTGGTCCGTTTTGATACTACTGAAATTGGGAATTAATCTCGGGGCTCAGGAATGCACAAGTTTTTCCTCACTGAAATAAAAGTTACATTTTTAACCTCTGGCAGCGTTCTCTGGGAAGGCTGTGCAGGAACAGGACCTCCACCAACAGTGGTGGACGAGTGGCTGCCCGTCAGCCCACTGGGGCCAAGCTGGTCAGGCCTGAGAGCGGGAGTGCGGAAGACGGCCCGTCTCTCCCCTTGCCCACGACCAGGGCCTGCCACCGCAGGGCCCAGCTCAGAGCTCACCCCATCCGAGAACTGGAGTCTGGAGCCAGCCTCTAAGCTTGTTGTTGGAGCCTCCCCGCCGCCTGCTGCCCAGGAGACTGGTGAGGGCACGGTTGTCTTCTGCCCTGCCCCAGGCTGGGAGCTTCTGAACATATGAACCCGTTCGTGGAAGCTCTGTGAAATAGTCAGGAATCCTGACCCTTTTCAATATTTTTTAAAAAAATGTCAGAATTGTATGAATCTTAATCAGGTTCGTTTGTATTTTTCCTGATTATAAAATACAATGAAAAAATGGTACAAAATACTAGACAAGTAGTAAGAAGCAAGGGTGAGAGGAGTCTCCCGTGGCCTCTCACCTGGTGATGTAGGAAAAGGTGGCAATGAAGGGGTTAAAGCCACTGTACTCTGCCTCGATGGGTTTTCTTCTACATTCTGGACACAATAAGGAAAAAAAAAGTCCTCTCGGTTTTCAAAACTCTAAGATGGGTTATCTAGTGCGGGACACAAAATTTGTTCGGACGGACTTGAAAGAGCAAGGTGCGCGTGGCCTCTATCCGTGGGGCTGCTGACCTCAAACAGTGAACTGTTACAGATTTCTTGGCTTAGTAAACGATCAGCTTTCAAGGGATGCTGTTTTGAGAAGCACTGGGTGGTAATCAGTATCGCTCAAGTTATTTTTTGGATCAAAAGTAATACTGCAGTGATGGGCTTTAATTGGCTTTTGCTTTTCAACTGCTACAGTGTCACCCACGAAAGATGAATTACTTATCTACTCAAACATCAAAGCTAGAAATAAGGTAGTCAGAAAATACACAAGTGTGGGATGGACTTCTGATTTGTATTCCTGTTTTTTAGGTTCATATTTTATTTGTATATAATTAAAAAAATTTCTAATGGCTTCTGGGTTATTTTATGAACATACCATTCATTTGATGAAGTTCAAAACTCAATTTTCAAGATGAAGGGTATAACCAAGAATATTCTGGAAGTGATTTTTCTTAAACTCTACGCCCCAAGTGGGGCTTGAAATCATGACCCCAAGATCAAGAGTTGCATACTCTACTGGTTGAGCCAGCCAGGCATCCTTGGAAGTGATTTTTCTTAAAAAATTTTTTAGTTTTTCATAGTACTACATGTAATGTAAAATGCAGCTAAAAGTCCTCTTCCTTTTTCTGCCATCCTGTTGTGATCCAGAGTCACTCCCCTAGAAGTAAATCCGTTATGTACATATTTTTCAATCTAATATTTATCTTCTATTTTTGGTAACTGTGAGTAAGCTACTAGCATGGTTTAGAAAAAAATGAGGGTAATTTTTGGGATTTACCGATTATTTTAGCTAAAATTCACTGGTTACAGAAAACAAACACCAGATTCCCTCAGCATTCTATGGTCAAATTTCATAAAAATCAGACTTTATTTGTACTGTTTTTCACATGTATTAGAATACTTTCTATCTCAACAGTATATTCTGAGCATCATTTGGGGGATGAAAACGAGGGTCATAGGGACTTACATCCAGGTTATATAAAGAACTCTTAAAACAATAAAAGGGCAAATCACTGAACTAAAACATGACTAAACGATCTGAACAGACACTCCTGCAAAGAAGAAATACTAATGGCCAATAAGTGTACGAAAAGATGCTAAACATCATTCATCATAAGGGGAACACAAGTAAAAACTACAGTGAGCCACCCCTTCAGCCCCCCCGAGCTAGCTATCATAAAGACAGGTGAGAACAAGAGCTGTAGAGGATAGGAAGAAACCGGGGCCATCCTACGCAGCTGATGAGACTGTAGAAAGGTGCAGCAGCTTTGGGAAACAGTTTGGTGGGTCCTTAAAACCATATAACCCAGCAATTCTACTCCTAGATGTAGAGCCAAGGAAAAGGAAAACGTGCCCACCCCAAAACCTGTACACGAATGCTCCCAGTCGCATTCTTCAGAATAGTCCCGAAGTGTTTAATAACCCACATGTCCACTAGCTGATGAACGGATAAGTAATTCCTACAATGGAATATTATTTGGCAATAAGAAATAAAGAATTACTGATATGTGCAACAACGTGGGTGAATCTTGAAATCGTTTATGCTCAATGAAAGAAGCTGGTCATAAAGGACCACGTATTGTATGATTTCACTTATGTGAAATGTACAGACGAGGCCAATCTTGAGAGACAGAAGGCAGATGAGTGGTTGCCAGGGGTGGGGGTGAGAGGGTGAGGACTAGGGAATGACTGCTCTTGGGTGTGGAGTTTCTTTCTGGGCTATTGAAAACGTTCTAAAATTAGCTTCTAGTAATACACAACTTGGTGAATATACCAAAGCCACAAAACTGTATAGTTTGGGTAAATTTCATAGTATCCGAAACATCTTACTGAAGTAGAAAGTTTCATGAGGCACCTAAGGGTCAAGATTTTAAAATTGATGTCTCAGTGCATAGTACCAGAAATATCAGAAATTGGATAGAATAGTTGAGGTCACATAAATTTTAGAGCTGTTTTGGGTAGATTCCAGTCATTCAAAAAACATTTTCTTCTTCCTAATAGAGAAAAATAATTCCAGTTGATCTGGCAACATGAAAGAACTGGGCTCTGAGATTCCACGCCGTGGGGTGAACAGACCGTGCGCGCAGGTCTGTGGAAGCCCGGGGACCCGTCTACACTGTCACAGGGCTAGCTGGTGTAGCACAGGTATGGGGACCTTCCTCCAGGGCACCCGCTACTCTCTGGCCTCTTCTGTTTACATCGTCTCTGCCTAGCACCCCCTTGGATTTGTCACCCCAATATGTCTCCTTCACAGATGAGGGATTGAGGACGAGGCAGGGGGGCGCAGGAACTTGCCCAAGGTCACACTGCCGTTGAGGAGAGTTTAGGATCTGAACCCTGTTTTCCAATAAAGCCCCCTTTCTAGGGCCAGCTCTGCAGAAATTTTAGAGATCTGCCATTGTAGAAATCGAGGTAGCAAAGGAAGACGCACCTAGGAACTTGAAAATAATCCTGGGATCCAACAAAAACAAAGGCAGTATATGGTGTTGGATGTGACTGCAGCGATCTTTGCTTGAGGAGAGTAAAGATGGCCAGGAAGGTTTGGGGAAAAGCAGGCAGAATATGCTTTACTGGGGCGCCTGGGTGGCTCAGTCGGTTAAGCATCTCCCTTCGGCTCAGGTCAGACCTCAGGGTCCTGGGATCTAGTCAGCATTGGGTTCCCTGTTCAGCGGGGAGCCTGTTTCTCCCTCTCCCCCTGCCCCTCCCCCCCCGCTCATGCTCTCTCTCACTCTCTCTGAAATAAAATCTTTAAAAAAATAGGCTTTATAAATAAACATTTTTCTTCCTTAAAAAGTTAAAAATAGAATTACTCTAAGATGCAGCAATCCCATTTCTGGGTATATAGCCCCAAAGAACTGAAAACAGAGTCTGAGATATTTGTTTATCCAAGGTTATGGGCTAAACTGTGTGTCTCCACTGAGCCCCAGTTCATAGCCTGAAGTCCTAGCCCCCAGTACTTCACAATGTATCTGTAAAGATAAGGTCTTTAAAGAGGTAATTAATTAAGGTTAAATGAGATCATTGGGATAGGCTCTAATCCAATATGACTGGTGCCCTTAAAAGAAGAAATTGGGGGGGGTTGGTGCCTGGATGGCTCAGTCGGTTAAGCGTCCGATGCTTGGTTTCAGCTCAGGTCATGATCTCAGGGTCCTGAGATCGAGCCCCACATCAGGCTCTGTGCTCAGCGTGGAGTCTGCTTCTCCCTCTCCCTCTACTGCTCCCCCTGCTCTTTCACTCATAAACAAATAAAATATTTTAAAAAAGGGTTTAGGACAGAGACATGAACAAAGACTGTGTGAAGACAGGGGAAAAGATAGATAGCCATTGACCAGCCAAGGAGAGAGGCCTCAGAAGAAACCAACCCTGCTGCCACGTTGATCTTGGACCTGTAGCCCCCAGAA